ATATTGCACATGTTCATACTCATCAGCACATGACAACTGTTTACCTCGCTGCGACGCAAGTCCCGGGGCTGTTGGTTTGCTGGCATTGGCTCAGAATAAGAATCGAATAGTGTACACTCCCACTTGGACTTAGGAAAAGCTGAGAAGAAACAAAAACAATACATAAGAATATATGCTATAGCCACAGTGGTCACTGTTCCTATCAGCCTTTCTGTGCTTGCTAAATGTGACAACAAAAAGTAATGAAATCTTAGATCCCACTTATGACATGATGCATTCTGAGGCAGTACTTTCAGTTTTTCACATGTAGAACACAGTACTTCTGTCATGCCTGTTTCACACATGTTGAAAGTAAGGAATGGGGTTGTTGAGTAATATGCTCAAGGCCACATGGCTGGTAACAGAAGAGTGGGGACTGGGACTCCAGCCAACTGCCTGGGGGGTCCCCGTTCTCCATATTTCATGTCATGATATAATGATCCTTTTCCACATGAACTATCGCTATCACAACACATTAAATATTAACTGTGTGACGAGCATCATTTTGGAATGGCAGTGACTAAGGTGACAGCTTCGATGCTGCAAACATTAACCAAGGAAATGCGTTATTTTAGTTATTGCTGTTGGATACACACAGGCAGGATCTTCTAGTGATGTATGCCCAAGAGAAATGGAGGAACTGCTCTTCCCTTTCATTAGCAGGAACAACAAGAGGAACAGTACAAGTTCTCGCTGATTTCAAGCAAGGCACATTCCAGGTTTTGGCCAACATACAGCAGTGACAGAGGCTGTTAATTGGGGAGCTGAGAGAATTAGCACGGAGAGGAGAGTGTGCTGCTTGGAAAGCTAATATTTCACACTCAGGCTATTTCTCAGAAGCAGATTCTGCTTCACCATTCTGTCACAAAGTAATTAGGAAAGAATGTCTCAACAGCCAGATAATTTGTCAATATTCCAAAGAAATAAGGCAGACGGGTTGGTAATCAACAGAAGCTACAAATCAAATTTGTCAAGACAAGCTACTGAGAAATCACAATTTGAAATGCAATGTTTCAAAAACACAGTTTTTGAATCGAACGTTAAACGTGGACTGGCAATGTTTTTCACCCTTGCCTCCTCCCACCCTCTCTGTGGTTAGAAATGCCCCAGTCTCTCTGCAGTAAAGCACTGGTCACTGAGGTGTCACCACTGCATGCGGTTGAGAGCACGCACCTTGTCTGTCCATTGTCTTAATCTGCTAAGAATTTCACTGATGCTAAGTGGTGCTGGCTGTGACCCTGGTGATTTCTCTGACTATACCTGGTCAGCTCATTGCTTTGGGGATTAAACCTCAGCAAAACCCCTTATACAGTACCACTGCCCAATCCAACCCCAAAAGCACTTTTAACTAATGTAAGATTTCTCTTTCTAGTCAACCAATCAACAATCTATCTTTCATCAGTTGCCACTGAGTTGATTCTAACTCATGGCGATCTCGGGTGTTTCAGAGTTGAACTGTAGCACCCCCTAAGATCTGACTATATGACTAATGCCTCACCATGAGGTGTCTCACCATGGACAAAGCTAACACTTCCAAAAACTGCAAATGCCCTCAATTAACAGCTAAATTTCTTTCTAACGTGTCTACTCCCCTCCATCTCCACTGCCACCTCCCCAGTGCAAGCCCCAGCTGCTCTGGAGGGACTGCTGCCAGAATCTTCTGTCTGATCTTCCTGTTGCCCCTCAAAACCTGTTCTCTGGACAGCAGTGGGGTCTTTTCAGAGGATCTGATTGGACTACTTCCCTGCTGGAAATGTGTCAGTTACTGCCCATGATCTGGTCCTCACCCTCCTCCTCCGTCAGCCTGGGCCCCAGTTCCCCTGGCTCATCCCACTCCAGCCCCTCTGGCCTGGACTCTCTATTTCTCCCATGCTCCGAGCCCCTCCCCACTCAGGCCTCTCCAGCATACCTCCTGTCCCTTCTGCCCATAACCTACTTTTCCCATCTTTTAGTCCTTAGGGCAGCCTTCACATTTGCACTCAACCATTGGAGAAAATCTTCCCTAAGGACAGGCATCCTCTGCCTGCACTGATTCCCTGTTTGTGAGTTTATTTAACATCTATCCTCCAATTGCCAGCAGATCCCAAGAGGGGGGAATTCTGACCCCAGTGGACAACTCGTGCCTGCCTCCCACATAGTACCAAAACCAAACCAAACCCACTGCCATCAAGTCAATTCTGACTCCTAGTGACCCTCTACAACAGAGCAGAACTGCCCCATAGGGTTTCCAAGGCTGGAAATCTTTACAGAAACAGAATGCCTCATCTTTCTCCTGTGGCACGGCTGGTGGGTTCGAACTGCCAACCTTATTGGTTTTAAGCAGCTGAATGCTTTTACCACTGTGCCACCAGAGCTTCTCTCACATAGTAAGTATGCAATAAATACCTTTTAGCGAGCTACATGGTAAAAATTTATAACACCTAGTCATGAAAATATCAAAAGGTTCGGGGTTAAGCCCTCCCAATGATCCATGTGCTCCTGCCGACCCTGCTCCGTTTTCACCACTAGGGAGAAGGCATTATTTCCATAATTAAAAGTAAAATGGCATTAGATACAACAATGCCTATTTCATTATTTTATTGGAAACAAGATTGTGTGGTTTTCATGCATGATGATATCAGCCAATTTATACTCCACAAACCTTGCTGAAGACTGGATTAAACATGGAATATGGATTAGAATAATGTTAGAATAAGATAAGATCTAAGCTTTTTTAAAAAAAGTTAAATGGGATGTCAAAAAAATGAGCAATAACAGAAAAAAAGAGCAGGACCATTCATACTTTGCCAACAGTCTAAAAAGCGCAGAGAAAACCTAGGAGGCTCTGGCCAGGGGGATCAAACATTTAAAAATTAACTACTAACCCTCAGGCTTTGCCTAAAGTAGACTGGCACTGAGTGTGATGGGGTTTTAGGAGGTCTCTCATGTTTTCTGTTAGAACTAGATCATTATTATTTAAGAGTGATCTTACAAACCCCAGAAATGATATGTAAGTTTGGTTTAATAGCAGTGTGTGTAATGACACTTCAGTTGTTTCTAGAAATTCACACCGACAGCCTGGATGAAAGATCAAGACAAGACAGGGGCTCTGTTCCTAGGGAAGGGAGAAAGCTCCTGATGGGTGCCCTATTTACTGGACTCCCCCATCCTGAGAGGCAAGTCCAAAGGAGCCATGTGCAGCTGGGAAGGAAGCAAGACACGAGCTCTTGTCTGTCACTTAACACATTTTTAGCTCTGGGCTTTCAGCTGTTGAAGAGTGTCATCCACGGCTTTTGTCACAGTCCAGGGAACCTACACGGTGAATCCTCACATGCAGAGTTCACACCTGGCGGAGGTGCCAACGCCGGGGAACACTGACAGCACCGATCTAGCCTTAGGCAGGACCCCAAAATGGAAAGACAGGTGAGGGCCTGGGAGAGGAGCTGCCCCAGGGGCTTGCCCCAGGGCCCCAAAGAGAAAAAGGTAATGGTGGTAAATGTGTCTCAATGACCCTGCATCAGATCACAGTCGGCTGCTAATTCCCATTCTAAACCAGCTGCTGCTCAGTCGACTCCAACTCACAGCGACCTCACGCGTGTCAGAGTAGAACTGCATGCCACAGGATATTTAATGGCCAATTTTTCAGAAGCACGTAGCTAGGCTTTTCTTCCAAGGTGCCTCTGGGCAAACTCCAGCCTCACCTTTTGGTCAGCAATGGAGCAGATCAGCTATTTATACTAACTAGGGATATCAATCCAAAAAAATCAAACTCAGCGCCATCAAGTCGGATCCAACTCACAGCGACCCTTCCTCGGGTTTCCGAGACAGTATCACTACGGAAGTAGATTGCCCAACCTTCCTTCTGAGGAGTGGCTGGTGGGTTTGAACTGCCAGCCTTCTGGTTAGCAGTCAAGTGCCTTAGGCACTACGCTACTAGAGCTCTCAGGATATCATTGGAAACAGTCAAAAGGCCCGGGAGGCCACGCTCCCAAGAGAAGGGGTTCCTCTAGGCCCCTGCGCTGACTGGGTAATGGGAGCCTGCAGGCTGGGCACATCACCTCTTCTCCGCCTCCAGAAGAAAAGAGAGTGAAAAAGGAAGGAGGGAGAAAGAGAGAGGGACATTAAGGAGGAAATAGAGCAGTTTATCATGGTGTCCAATTGCAAGCCAGTTCCTGGGAGCTATGAGGGCCTTCCCTAGCCTTTAAGGAAGGGAAGGTAGCTGGGGACAGTCTCCTGTAGGCAGAAAGCAGCTGGTATCAGCAAAGTCTAAACCCTGAAATCAGCACTTCCTGTTGCTCTCTGAACCTCTCCTTCTCACATTTTATGGGGACATTTGGGCCAGATCCCAGATGGGTCACTCTTCCCCCAACATGTTTACCTGTCTCTGGAGCTCTGGTGGCGTAGTGGATAAGACATTTGACTGCTAACCAGAAGCTCAGTGATTCAAACCCACCAGCCACTGCATGGAAGGAAGATGGGGCAATCTACTTCTGCAAAGATTTACAGCCTTGGAAACCCGATGGGGGTCGCAGTGAGTGGGAATCAACTCAATGGCAGTGAGTTTATTTTTTTGTTTTTTAGGGTACCAGCCATGTGCTTGATCTCTTCCTTTAGATGAGCCCACACACACACCTACCTAATCCAGGGAGTCTGAGACTCCAAGACTGACCTAGACATGCTATTTGCTACTTTGAATCTGGTGTTCTCATAAGGAAGAGACAAGACAAGCTAATCTAAGACTTTTCCCAGGGTAACCACAATATTTATCCTTTATTAGCACAAGTCACAGTGCCTTCAGATGCCGCTCCCTCTTGCCGACGGTCACCCGACGAAGCTCTCCTTTTGTAGAGACCTGGCGTAAAAAGTGAGGAAGTTTCTTAAAGCACCGGCTGAGTCTGCACCCTTTCAACAGGAAATGGACTTCTCTGCATAATGGAAATCAGACCACTGTCCACTGCTTTGGAAAAGAGCAAGAGACATTCTTGGTTGTTCTAACTTGACAAGTGAACTGACACAAATGCTGCACGCACCATGACCCCTTCCTACTCAAAGGTTCAAAGTAGTGGTTTGGAGTGACTGCTTTGCTAAAGAGAAAGAGGAAAAGAGTTCTGTCGGCACACTGGCAGGTTCTAGAGCATGGTGTATACCTATGCAGGAGTTCAAGCTGCACACTTAGGATTACAGCACTTTGCACATTTTACTGTATAGAAGGGCTCTATCCCATTTTGTTTCCTAAGGTCACTCAGGGATGTACCTAAAATGCCAAGTCAGTGCTTGGCTCTATAAGCAGATCTTCCTCTTTTATCTGCTATCAACTGGGAGGTTTAGGACTTGCTCGTTCCATAATTCTCCTGACAGGGTAAGTGGCTTTGGTTCAGATTCATCCAAGGGCACTGGCTTGGGGATAAGAGTGGATTCAGACTTGCCGGGATCACTCCTAGTAGGCAGCTGATAAGACATTCACATCTAATATCAGTTAAAGAAAAATAACTATAGATATCAAGGACTCCCCAATGTCACTGGACTTGATTTAAGAAACTTCTAAGGCCTGGATGAAAAATGCCAAGGTTTATGATTTAGGATAAGGCCTTACCTGCTTGCAAGTACTCTGGCTGCAGAGTTGGCGGCAGGCCCTCTGGCAGCGGGTAGCCATTCTTCCGGGCCACAATGAGATGAAACGCAGCACAGAACTCAGGCAGGGTCAACGCCCCGTCGCAGTCAGCATCACTAAGTTCCCTACAAACAATGCATGTCATGAGTACCAGCACAGGGCTCAGAAGGAAAGTTAGCCAGGCTCAAATGTGCACACACATCTCCCAGACTGTCTTGGTGTGGTCCTGTAAGATCCTCAAACCCTCCTGCTGACCAAAGTCATTTAAAATCTAAGGGGCCACTCAAAGGAGGAAAAATGCTGATCGATAGCACTGGTATCAGTAGCACTGTGTAAATTAAAATGTAAATTACTCACGCTCTTTAGTAGGTCTGTTTTTATAACACTGAGTATACAAGACAGGAAATGATAGAGAGTCTCATTGCTTAAGAGATACCGAGTTTCTTCTATTAAGGGTAATAGAAAAATTTGGCAAAAGGTAACAGATGATGGTTGAACAACATGTTGCTGTTCTCCATGTGACAAAGTAAAACTGCCTCATAGCGTCTTCTAGGCTGTAAAGGAAGCAAGGCCGTTTATGGGAGGAGATTGCCAGGCCTCTCTCCCGCGGAGCAGCTAGGTGGGTACAACCCACCAGGCATTTGGTTCGCAACTGAGCACTTAGCCAGTGGGCCACTAGGGCTCCTTGCTCATGCTCTGTTGTGTGAATCATGTAGATTCCGACTTACAGCGACCCTATACGACAGAGCAGAACTGATTTTCAAAGCTGTAATCTTTATGGGAGCGGACTGCCAGGTCTTTCTCTTGCAGAGCCAACTGGGTGAGTTCAAACCACCAGCCCTTCAGCTAGTAGCCAAGCACTTAATTGTTGCACCACTAGGGCCCCTCTTAAACAACATGTTGTTGTTCTTGTTATGTGCCGTCAAGTCGGACCGATTCATAGTGACCCCTCCTTTGGTTTCCGAGGCGTTATCACTACGGAAGTAGATTGCCCAACCTTCCTTCCAAGGAGCTCTGGTAGCATAGTGCCTAAGGCACTTGACTGCTAACCAGAAGGCTGGCGGTCTAAACCCACCAGCCACTCTTTGGAAGGAAGGTTGGGCAATCCTACTTCTGTAGTGATACTGCCTCGGAAACCCAAGGAGGGGTCGCTATGAATCGGGGAGGAAACCCAAGGAGGGGTCGCTATGAGTAGGGTCCGACTTGACGACACATAACAACAACAACTTCTCCTTAAACAACATAACAGTAACACTGATAAACATAACTAATAACACTGAATTGCACGTCCTCCCAACTGGACCAACAAGCAATATCATGATAAATGGAGAAAATATTGAACTTGTCAAGGATTTCATTTTATTTGGAACCACAATCAACAACCCTAGAAACAGCAGTCAAGAAATCAAACAACATACTGCCTTGGGCAAATCTGCTTCAAAAGACCTCGTAAAGTATTAAAAACCGAAGATGTCACTTTGAGGACTAAGGTGCACCTGACCCCTGACCCAAGCCATGGTATCTTCAAGCACCTTCTACGCATGTGAAAGGTGGGCAGTGAATGAGGAAGACTGAACAAGAATTGATGCCTCTGCATTATGCTGTTAACGAAGAATATGGAATATAGCGCAGACTGCCAGAAGAACAAACAAATCTGTCCTGTAAGAAGTAGAGCCGTAATGCTCCTTATAAGGGAGGATGGTGAGACTTTGTCTCGCGTACTTTCATCATACTGTCAGAAGGGACCAGTCCCTGGAGAAGGCTAGCATGCTTGGTAAAGTAGAGGGTCAGTGAAAAAGGGGAAGGCCCTCAATGACGTGGATTGACCCAGTGGCTCCAACGATGGGCTCAGACACAGCAACAATTGTGAGGATGGTGCAGGACCCAGGCAGCGTTCTGTTCTGCTGCACGTGGGGCTGCTAAGAGTCAGTACTGACCCGATGGCACTGAACAACAGGAATGCTGAAATGGCAAATATTTTGCTACATATATATATATTTGCCATAGTTTAAAACAAAAACAAAAAACTGCACAAGAAGAATGAAGCATGGGGAGTTCTGTAGCTCGTAGACAGGCCTTCAGTGGACAGAGGCGGCCTGGTGGGAAGAGCCTGGTACCAGGTGCTGAAACAGTACGGGGCGGGGCTGCCCTCGGCCCTTGTCCCAGCTCTTCCCCAGTTTATATAAAGCACATGTGTCATTGCTCTGGATCTTCATTTTCCAACTTTAAGGAAAAACCTTCAACTTTTCCAGTCATGTAAATTTTTGTATCAAATTCTTCTTTGTTGGAGAATGACCTTCTGTGAAAATATAAGTCAGCTCAGTAAACACTCCTTGAATTATGTTTTAAGATAAAGCTACCAACTAGGAAAGGCTGGAACCAGATAAGACAGACAGGAACAAAGGAAGACTCAGGAAAAGGCTTATCTCATTGTAGGTGCTAAAAGTGACTAAGACTCTATAAGCTCAACCATACTCTACATGTACACAGACAAGTATGTTCGCATTAGGGCAAGTATAGTATCAAACTTAGCCTGAACTGTACTAGAATGGTGTTCCTCACTGAAAGGAAAACAAGCGCTCCGGAACTTCTTTTGAATCCTTCACCTCCTCCTCCTCCTCCAACATTTATAATGCACTAACCTTGAATCCTCAGATATTTACAACACAGTAACCTTGAGTCCTCAAATATTTAGGATACACCAAGCCTGAAGGTGTAGTGTCTAAGGCATTTGACTGGTAACCAGAAGGGTGGTGGTTCAAAACCACCAGCCACTCCTTGGAAGGATGATTGGACAATCTACTTCCGTAGCGACACCGCCTCAGAAACCCAAGGAAGGGTCAACTAGGAGTCGGATCGGACTCCATGGCAGTGAGTTCAGTTTTTTGGTTTAAGCCTGAAATAAGAGCCCTGGTAGCCTAGCCCAGTGCTGAAGTGCCAGGCTGCTAACCACAAGGTCAATGGTTTGAGCCTATCAGCAACCCTTTGGGAAAAAGATGTGGCCGTCTCCTTCTGTAAAGATTTACAGCTTTGAAAATCCAATGAAGTAGTTATACGCGACTTATAGAGTCACAACTAACTTGACAGCCACAGGTCTGGTGTATTGCTTTGTTTTTCAAAAACCTTGAAATAGCTGTTCCCCAGAGGGAGGAGCCAAGAAACTTCTTCAAGGGCTGGAAAGAGATAATACCATTTAACTTTCAGGGATACATCTCCTCAGAAAGATAAGAAGCCTCTTGCCAATAACGTTAAGACTGGGAATGCTGCCAAAACAGATTGTATTCTTTTCAAAATGATAATGTGATTTCTTTTTCCAAGCTTTAAAATCTAATATGTTTGTTGAAAGGAGGGGAAAAACAAGCGAAGCCAGCGTATAATGCCAAAGAACCTAACCCAGCTCACAGCCCCAGCTCCACTGGCACGCACAAGTATTACTAGAATCATTTTCCAATAAGATGCACAAAATATGACAAGATTTTAAATCCTCTCATAATTTTTGTAAAATCATCATGTACCAAAAAAAAAAAAAAAGCTTGACATAAACATTTCAATGATTTTATTGCAGTGTGGTCTCGGCCCAGTCCTGGGTGGAACTAGCCCACGTGCAGCTGGGGGTTCACCGGCACTGAGTATCTTCAGAAATGCAAATGGGGCCATCTGCGCAGGCCGGCCCAGCCCTTCTGGGGCCCAAGCTGGGGCGGGCTCAGCGGCCCAGTGCCAGAAGGCCACAGCTGCAGGTCCAGGCCCAGCTGAGAGAGAGACAAGGCCAATTGATGAACCTCAGAGGCGACGAGAATGGTCAAGTCTGATGCCAAAATATTCCTTGGCCTTATCTGTTCACCAGGCCTTATCAAATATTACTGAGACTAGGTTTTTCAAGGTTACTTGGATCACAATGAGTAGCTGAAAAATTCTAACAACAGAACATACAAGCTGGATATTTTAATATTGCTTAAAAGGGATTCTGATGATAATAATTAGGAAATTTCTTGGGAAATAATAGCTAACACTTATCATGCTCACTTATAGGCACTCTTCGTTGTACTTTTCGGATACTAACTTATTTAATCTTCACAGCAACATGAGTTCTATTCACTCTCTTAGTCTGTTAAAAACATTCAAAAGATAAGACTTTAAAAAAAAGCAAAAGTAGAGGCCAAAGGATAGGACATGCTACGTGGCACCAGTTGTACTTACCATATATAGGAGAGTTCTGGAATGGAAAGCTTTGATTTAGTGAAGAAGTTCTTAGCCACAGAACCTGTTAAGAGCCATTGTTTAAATAAATGGTTAATTTCTCATCTAGTGGAGCATTTATTTGTATAACAATAAATCGCCATTTCTTCATTCACTAACCCCAACAGAGCCACATATCTAACATTTATCCATCAGAGCCAACTATGACTCATGTGACAAAAGCAAGAGATGAAGAGCTTTTAAAAGAAACAACGACCTAATATTCATTATGACAGATGCAGATTATTATTTAATGTCATCTTAATTTTTATTAAAAATCTGTAACACTTTACTGTAAAATTCAAAACACTAACTTCAAAATTTTCAAAGGGATGATCTGTCAAGCACACATAGTAAAAGGGTGAAAAAGCAACATAAGGTCCTGGTAGAAAAAGAGAGGAATAATAAGAAAATTAGCACCATTGATCCCACCACACAGAGATAAGCAGACATCTTGGGAAAGATTTTCTGGTGAGATTTAAGGCTTCTTGGTGGTTCACTGCAAATTGATCCAGGAATCTCGTGTTACCTTCTTTGTTGTTGTTGCTGTGGTTGTTAGTTGCCATGGGGGCAGCTCTGACTCATGGTGACCCCACACACAACGAACAAGATGTTGCCCCGGGCCTATACCATCGTCACCACTGTTGGGATGCTCCACTGTTGTGCCCACGGTGTATCTTGAATACCTTCCCGCCTGAGCGGTCCAGCTTCCCGTACTCTATTGGACAATATTCTATTGTGATGCCTAGGGTTTTCACTGGCTAACTTTCAGAAGTGGTTGCCCACGCCTTTCTTCCCTGTCTTAGTCTAGAAGCTCCACTGAAAGCTGTACACCATGGCTATCCCCGCTGGTATGTAAAATACCATTGGCAGATTGCAGGCTCTCACTCAGAATCCTGTCATTCTTACTTTGGACACTTTTCCCTACTTTGGTGATCTATGTTATGAGCCCACAGATCAGAGGCATCACGTCAGAAAAGAGTAGAATCTTCTAGAACGGCACTATCCAATATGGTAGTCACTAGCCACAAGTGACTCCTGCACACTAGAAACGTGGCTAGAAAAAAAAAAATACCAGTGGCAGAGCCTCCACCATCACAGCAATACACAAGTCACTACAGTACAACAAACTGACAGATGGGTGGTGGGCTACTTTCTATACTCACTGTAAATTTCCCAATGTCAATCATACGCTTTACACGGGTGGATTTTATGGTATGTAAATTATATTTTAATAAAGATTTTTTTGAAAAACCAACGAACCACAATATATCAATCTCTCTTGATCTTGATTAAACTAAGCTTTAAAGGGGCCATTTATAAGACAATCATAATGGTGACTGACTGATGACATTGAGACTTGAATGGAACTGGTCTTTGCTGCTGTAAGTGTACCAATGCATTGTGGTGTGTTTTCAAAAGAAGCCTGATCTTTAGAGATATGTCCTGAAATTTGTTCAACTGAAATGGTCTCGTTACAGCTTCAAAAGTCATCTGGGGTGACATATATGATCAGACAAAATTGTTAGGGCCATATGATAACCATGCTACTTTGACCTACATTTGAAATTCTGCAAAAAAGGAAGTTAAAAGAAAAACATTCCTATTGACTATCTATTTGTATCTGGTTACATATCTGTATACATTGTGAAGGAGCTCTCACAAGCAGTTCACAAGGCTATGTATGCAAGTGATAAATACACGCAATCTGGGTGTCTGCTTATTTTCTGCAATCACGATGTCAATGTTCGTTTTTTGTATCATCAATATTCTGCTTTCATTACCACCAGTCAGTAAGTGATGCTTGTGTTTCTATCAGTATATCTTCATTGTTGTTGTTATGTGCTGGCGAGTCAGACCCAACTCACAGCAGACCCCTCCTTGGGTTTCCGAGGCAGTATCACTATGGAGGTAGATTTCCCAACCTTCCTTCTGAGGAGTGGCTGGTGGGTTTGAACTGCCAGCTTTCTGGTTAGCAGTCAAGTGCCTTAGGCACTATGCTACCAGAACTCCTTATATCTTAATACCTATTTCATAATAAAAAATTAGTCTTATTCCACACTTCAATATGTCAGGTTATAATTATCAATAACATACTGTTACTCTTCAAGATTGATCTATAAAAAGAAAATATTAGGAATTTTTCTTCCAGACTCTTCTATTTCACTGTTTATTTAGTCATTTTCCCGGTAAAATGTTGGCACACAGCAATTAAATCCATTCCTTTTGGTTTGAATTTTGCAAAACTACTCAAAAGGAATATGTATTTCTGAAGACAATCCAGAAAAACTGATATATGGACATAAAATTGCGGTCAATCTTTCACCTACATTTTAATTTCTCTTAGGAAAAAAAAGAGGATAAAGAGTTGAGCCAAAGATAATGAACATGAATTTGAACCCACGAGGCATATAAAGGTAGTCCCTGACTTCCAACCGGACTCCATTCCAACAACTCTGTTATAAGGTGGTTCTGACATAGGCCAAATACCTCTTTTTTTTCCCCCAACTCTTCATATTATTGCCTCTTATTATCAGTATCTTTTAAATAGTAAATCTCAAAACTGGACATCTGTGAGTGAACATCTGAGAATATTAGCAAATTACACAGCACAATGTATTATTAACAATCAGATATACCCCCCCAAAAAAGTCGCAAGTACAGTTTGCTGTAACTCAAATAGACTGTAAGTCAGAGACCACTCATATACAATAAGGAGACTGAGAGAATAATTCATTAGATGGTTATAATACATCCTTGCTCTAACTCTAATACAATTAGTAAGCAATTTAAGGTCTTGCCTTGGTGCTAAGCTCAATCATTTCAAGAACTGCTCCAGTTAAAATGGCTCAGGATCTGGACCAGGCTTCCCCAAATTCCCACTTAACCCCTTTGAAATAGTCATTTCCCAAATGTCTGTGCCATTGCCAGGTTGTTGTTTTTTTTTTTTTTTTTCCTTCCCCTTCCCTGACTGGTTTATAGCTGATGAGAAATTCAGTCTTAAAGGAAAGCAAATTGAAATTGCAGAAGATCGTCACGCTCATTGTATTTGAACTATTTCTCAAGATGTTTACTGTGACTTAGGAGGGAATGATGACCCGGGACACCACGTATTCATCCGCCCATGTTCGTTACCTGAAATGAAGGAACTTGGGTCAGGTTGCAGGGCCCGGAACTGATTGACATAGTATTCTCGCTGTTCCTCTGTTATCCTCCAGGGATCGTCTGGGTAATGACTGTTGCTATCCTGTGATTCTCTCTCCACTGAAAAGGACTTGAAAAAGAAAAGAAAGCAGCCAATGCTCACATAATCTGCTTTTATTGAGATGAAATAGATAAATCAAACGTCAATAAAAGTTATTGTGTGTTAGATTTATTTTTTTCTCCCCGAGGGAATAAATTTAAACAACACGTAACTAGAATGTAACTAGAACATAAAATCCTTCGTGGCAGATAGCATGCTTTTACATTATTTCTGTATTCCCTAAAGTTGTTAACAGGACTAAGCAGGAAATATTGAATACTAGGTAACTGACAAAATGTTTTCTAATGTGATAAAAGGGAGAGAGAGAGAGAGAGAAAAAAAAAAAGATGATCATTCAGAAATTCACCACATTTGGATCCTTTCACATTGGCTGAGTGGATAGTAAAATTATCAGGATGCTTTTAAATCCATGTTTTAAAAAACAAACAAAAAAAAATAGAACAGAAATAACTACATAACATGTCATCTTCTTTCCTGAGACATTCATGTTATATAAATCTGGGAGTGAACAGTTCCAAAATTTCAATCTCACTTCCCCATGTAGTATTTCTATGTGAGCAGCAAGTCAGACCCACTGAACCTCTGATTTGACATTTGTGAGTTGGGAATAACACTTAGTAAGCTGGTTGTCGGGTCCGACTCGACGGCACATAACAACAACAACAACAACAACAAGCTGGGTGGAGAGAACAGCTGTCATTGTACCACAATAGGGTTAACAAGGGATGCATCAAACCTGCCACTAGGGGGCGTGCAAGCCAAATTTGAGAATTTAAGGGCCCAGAACTCAAAAACCAAACTCACTACTGTCTAGGCAGATCTGACTCACAGCGACCCGTCCTTGGGTTTCCAAGGCAGTATCACTATGGAAGTAGATTGCCCAATCTTCCTTCCAAGGGGTGGCTGGTGGGTTTGAACCGCCAGCCTTCTAGTTAGCAGTCAAATGCCTTAGGTACTACGCTACTAGAGCTCCTTAAGGGCCCAGAGAAGCTGAGAAATACAGAAGAACACAAAGCTATCCTGGCCACTGGATAGAAAAGCAGAAAGAATGGCGTTGGCGGGGGGGGGGGGAATCCTAGGGCTTAGATTCTATCCCTTCGATCCATCCCAACACTAAGGAGGTGCTACATACCAAAGGCTATCTTCATGGAAGCTAGAAAAGAACAGGAGAAGGTGGGTCTATAGGACAAAAGAAGACTAGGAGAGAAAGGGAGAAGTATTACTGCTGAAGAGCCATCAAGCTGCCTGCTTCTGAACAAGCCCTCATTGAATTCATAATTAGGAGGGCATTCTAACCACTGTCCCTAGATAAGATAGCATCTCTTCTCCTGCCCGACACACAAAAACACATTCCAGGATTAAATTCTTCCCAGGAACACCTGTCCATCCTCTGACAATGTTCACTGGAGAAAAGGGACTGTACAAAACTTTGAGCTTGGATATAACCTTGAGTTGTAATTTTTGAAATTGAGTATCTATTACTCAAGACTCTGAGGGTGCTTCGGGAGGGCCAGGAGAATAAGGAACTATCGTCTGTTGAAATATCAGCAGAAGTGCTGAATGAGAATGTACTCAGCAGAAGGGACAGTCCTTGAATAAACCACCTGACTCCTTCAGGAGAGTCGGGGGAAGGTTACAGATAGAAGTTGACCACTATATGGGGGTTAGTCATTTGTAATAAATAGACTGCTTTCCATAATAGATGAATTTCTACTAACTGGAAATCAAACCATTTATAAATGCCCGGGAAACCACTATTAATACTTTAAATACATAGAGTGCTGTGGAATTTGCAAGCATTTCCCACCCTCGCTCTCATTTGCTCAAGACTTTAAAGAGGTAGATGCAGCAGGCATTATTATCCTTTCTCCAGATGAGGAAACTGAGGTCGGCAAGTGTATGGGACTTGTCCATATCCTTCAGTGAGCTTCTGCCATCAGCAAATAATTATCCTCTTTTTTATTTGATCTCAAAAGCCAGGTTCCCACATGTCAGAATTTTTTACACTAGGTCCCCTCTATCTGTGGATTTTTTCAGAAAACCCACGTCATTCTTGTAATAAGCAAATAATATAAAGCAAGCAAGGCAAACCAAAAGTTAGTCCATGCACTCGCTGGACCATACAACTTCCCAAAGCATCTACTGAATTCCAAAGCCATGTACTAGAGCCACTTCCTCTGAACGAAGCCAGATGTTTGCCTGAATTTTGGAGGTTGAGCACTGGGTGGAGGGACATCAGCTTAAATTGGATTGCATTACTGGCCATGTTATACTGGGGTGAACTCCCAGAAATGCTGGCCCTCCAGGTCACCCCTGACAGAAATAGCTAACACAAGGAACACAAAAGCCTGGGCATGACCAGGGGAAATGAGAACTGATGTTTATAAGTGAAGAAATAAAATGGGCAGAGACGCTTCTCAAGGTAGATGGGACCCAGGCAGAGAGCTTTGTTCCCCACTCCACAGTGAATGCAGGCACAGAAGTGTCCACATTGGGAGTTGGCTGATGCACCCCCTGGCTCTGACATGGAAGCTCCTCCTCCCCTACAGTATGTCCTAGGACCCTTCCCTCCTGCTCACTACTCAGCCATACCCAGTTGTTGCTGTTTTTACTATGATCCATGTTTTTTCTTTCTCCAGGCCCAGGGCCACCTGCTCTCTCTCTTTCCTCTCCCACAACCCTCACTCCTGAGTGGCTTCCATGACCTTTTAAGGAAGTCTTGAGTCTGTTCTGGGAACAGACAGGAGAGGGTGACTAACCCACGGCTTAAAAGCCGAAAGTGACGGCCTGCTGCCTGACAAAAACTCCACCTCCTCTACCTGACCTTTATGGCCCCCGTCCCCAGCCTCCTCCTTGTTGCTCACAGAGGCCTTGACTGCCTATGTGCCTCCTCTTCATCAGGAAGAAGACTGGCAGCTTCTTCCCAGAATGCCCTTCCTCTGATCCCAGAGTGTCCAATTCTACCCTTTCCTCACATCCCAGTGCCCTGCATGGCTCCCCCATATCCCAGCCATTCCAGAGGCACTGCTCAGCTCACAGCTCCACTAACCAAGGTGGCCCCAGCAGCCATGTGTGGGCCAGATGACCCACCTGACCTCTGGTCTCGCCTGAAGAAGTCAGAGTGAGGGTGAGCTGAACACAGGATGCTGGCCTTTGGGGTGCCTGGGCATGGAAAGCTCTCCTCTTGCAAGAACAAGTTAGGCCAGATACGCATTTTCTGGGAATGCGGATAATAAATAGAAAGATAAACAAGCAGAGAAAGTAGACCCACATGGATGCACAGTAGGGCTATAAGCTGAAAAGTAAGGTCCAGGTAAGTCTTCAAGTTAGGCAAGAGTCAGAACTGAGGATCAGCAGAACCTGTGAGGTAAGCAGAGAAGTGATATAAAGAGTAGGGGTAAGGATGGCTGGAGGCAGCTGTACCGGACTGAACTGTGTCCCCCGAAAAGGTATGTTGAAGTCCGAACCCTTGCACCAGGGAATGTGATCTTGTTTGGGGAACTAAGCTTCTTCTTTTCAAGTGTTATTAATTAGGAAGTCATAGAGGAGTAGGGTGGGCTCTAATCTAAATTCTTTCTGAGCAGTCTATTGTAAAAGAGAAGGACAGGGATACAGAATCACACACAGGCACACAGGGGAAAGACTGCATGCGAGGATCTATCCACAAGCCAAGGGAGCCAAAGACTGCCAGGACCCACCAGAAGCTAGCAGAGGGGCATCGAACAGTTCCTCTCTCAAAGCCCCTACAAGAAAGCAACATGGCCAAGGCCCTCATTTGGACTTCTATCCTCCAGACCTGTGGGACAATAAATTTGTTCTTGAAAACCACCCACTTTCAAAGTTATGATAACTTCTTAGACACAGTGAACCATTCTGATGAAGTGAGTTGTTGAACCTGTGGGCTCAGGACCATGGTCACAGGGAACATCAAGCTCAAATGGCATAATGTACTATACAAAAACATTGTTCTACATCCTATTTTGGTGAGCAGCGACTAGGATCTTAAAAGCTTGCAAGCAGCAACAATCAAGTGTCTCCTTGCCCGGAGCAAAGAAGAATGAAGAAAACCAATGACACGTGGAAACAGTTAGTCCAAGGCACTAGTGGACCATGCAAACCTCAGCCTATATGGCTGTGAGATCAGAAGAACTAGATGGTGCCCAGCTACCACTGTCAACCACTCAGAAAGGGATCAGTGCAGGAGATTCTGGATAGAGTGGGAGAACAATGTGGAACAAAACTCAAAATCATAAAAAAGACCAAGTTTACTGGTCTGATAGAGCCTGGTGAGACCCCCGAGACTATGGCCCCTAGTTACCCTTCAGGTCTGGAATTGAACTCACTTCCGTGGCTTCCAGCCAAACAATAGATAGCCATATAAGGTGAACATTTACACCAGGTAGATACACTCCTTAGAACAATCAATCATGGGAGGACAGAAGAGCAGTCTCTGCATAGGGAGACAGCTTAGGGGACAGGAATGCATAGGAAAGGAGGACACAGGGAAGAGGTAACTACAGGGAGGAAGTGGGAAGAGAGCTGTTACATTAAGGGGGTTGCAATCAATGTCATGAAACAAAATGTGTATGAATGGCTGTATGGAAAATGAATTTGCTCTGTAAACTTTCACCCAAATGACAATAAAAATTTAAATAAATAAAACCACCAACTTTGTGGTATTTTGTGTGGCAGAACTAAGAGATGATGACAGCAGCTGAAAGGTAAGTGGACAGCAAGGTCAACTCAAGGGTCACTAATGGCAGAACATGCATGAATATCCAAGAATCCCAATCTTGAGGACCAATGGCCCACTCCTTGTCTCTCATTGCTTGGATTCCCATGAGAAGCCAATCTCCCCTACCTTCCAAGCTGGCAAGGTGAGTGCTTACTCCCTAAAATCAAAAAGGCCTTACAACAAAGAGAGAGGGCATATGAACATTGTGTAACTCACTGTACGGCCCTTCAACCGGCTTGCACTGAATGTGTTAACCTACTGCTAACTCTTTCCC